CAGAAACTGACTATAATATGATACACCCAACCTTCCTTCCTTTCTACATACACAGAAACTGACTATAATATGATACACCCAACCTTCCTTCCTTTCTACATACACAGAAACTGACTATAATATGAGCTCTTTCCATGTGTAACCAAATACTGCGAGGAACCTTCATATTAAGTTTGAGAAAGATCCCTGTAGGATTTTCTAAGAAATTGTGCTAGCAAACTTTACTCTCAAAATTCAAGATTGCCACTAAAAAGAACAGTGGTAAACCCTTTCACCCCTAAGTAACTTTAATAGACTCTACCATACATAGATCTGAATGAGTCCATTATGGTCGAAAATATAATATATAATAATATCAGTTTGATAATATTTTTACCAATAGTATTTACCAAAAAAGTTAACGTTGAGGTCTGTAAATATGGAAAATACAAGCTGGAAACTGTAGTACCAAGATTGTAAGATGATGAGCACAAGGAATAAAAATGGCCTGACATCGTGAAACTCCTGCTCAGATCATTAGAGTTGACAGGTATGGAGCCCCCCCAACCATCCTATCTTTCACTGACTAAGATTATGAGCCAATCTCTCCAAATCCTTATATACAGAGAAACTGACTATAGTTTGATGAACTAGTACTTCTATCGATTAATTTCTGTAACACATCAAAGAACTGTTCCTACATTATAGAAGAAATAAATACCCCGGTAATTGCATAGATTGTTGAGACACTTCCACCTTCACACATAAACAGAAACTGATAATAGTTTAATGAGCCCCTTCCAAAAAAATCAGACACTCAAGTTATTGTATGAGCCCCACACTCCTCCCCTCTTTCCAACTTACACAGAAACTGACTATAGTTTGCTGACATGTTTACCTTAGAGTATGTGTATAAGGTCAGGTCAAGCAGAGGTCACAGTCAGAGGTCAAAATCCTGGTATACATTGCAGTCAGAAGAAACATCCATTATAATCCTAGAGGATGTCTTTTTTTTTTTATTGAAAACACTTTAATTAGCAATAAATGTGTCAACCTGTTTATTATATAGGGCTGCCCATAAAACCCATATCTCATCATCTCCTATAAATAACTGGATGAATCACACTTGTTTACTTGTTGTATTTTAGCTGGCTCATTATCATAGCCTAGGTCACTGTCTTACTGAGTATGGAAAGCAATAAAATCAAAAAGAAAAAATAAGGGTTTCCAAAAGGCTTATTATCACATTATTGAAAGTTATATATTGAGCTCTACTAACTAAATTGTTAAAACTAATATCTTTCATACATTTAGTTTCATTGATAAATCAGTATTGATGCTTAATACATTGAATGGACATCTATTAAGATTTTCGATTTAATATGGTTATAACTAAGATCTAATGGGCTTTGTAGGTTCTTTAAAAGCTTTATCAAAAGGGTTTATAACTTAAATGTGAACAACCAACTCTATAAAGTTTTGGGATTTAAAATGGTCACCATGGCATTTACATTGATAAGACAAGTGGGATTGTGACCTGTGTTCTGGTGGAGTTTGTTGATACTTTGTGAAAATGATTCACAGGAGACCATCTTTATATTGAATGGCCGCCTTTTATATCAAGATTCAAGATGGCAGCCCTGGCTACTGCTTCAAGTTCTATTCCGCTGGCTAATAGGGAGTAGGGTTGTAATGGTTAGAAATAATGCCAGTTGGGTAACTGTCTAGCTGTGCTTAATCATTCGAACCCAAACAGGATAGTTTTTTGTGCCATGAAACTACAGGCACCATTACATAAACAAACATAACTCAATATGGTTATGCCTTGTAAATATAGTTGCAAATTCTTAAAAATCTTTATGAATTGGTTTCTGATCGATAGCCTCCCAACTGGGAATTCTGTTTGTTTTAACGCTATGCACACATATTTGTATTTTCTGTGCATATATTATGTGTATACAACCTTGAACACTGTATTAAAAGTTTATTGTATACATGTACTTAATGGTTCAGTAATGACTGATCAAAAGGGTTTTCAACAACAGTTAGGAATACCATTTGTGACAAGGATAATCAGTTAATAAAATATCTCCACTATATCTGATTCAATTTAAGGCCCACCATTGTTTTTCAAACGGGGATCAAACCCAAGATCCTGGACTTCCTTGTATATATGTCAGACGCTCTGCTACTGAGTCACTGTATGTCAGACGCTCTGCTACTGAGTCACTGTATGTCAGACGCTTTACCACTGATTCACGGTATGTCAGACGCTCTGCTACTGAGTCATTGTATGTCAGACAGTCTACCACTGAGTCAATGTATGTCAGACGCTCTGCTACTGAGCCACTTTATGTCAGATGCTCTGCTACCTAGCCACTGTATGTCAGACGCTCTGCTACTGAGCCACTTTATGTCAGACGCTCTGCTACCTAGCCACTGTATGTCAGACGCTCTACTACTGAGCCACTGTATATCAGACACTCTACCACTGAGCCACTGTATGTCAGGACCTGTAGGAGAGATATATGTCCTTGCTGGTTTGTTGTCAGAATACATAGTGATGTGGACTAGACTGGTATTACATGTGCAGTGCTGATAAATCACTATACTCACCTATCTAGGATTATGGATCTGAAACATTGTGTTAATTACTAAATAGGTAATAAAAACTTGATTTAAATCTAAGAAGGCATGACCAATCTATGTTTACAGATTAGGTCAGCATGCATTTTAGGAACTGTTGGTCTGGACCTCACAGGTTTGAGTCAGTGGGCTTTTACTTTGAATGAATCAGGTGTTGCTCCTGAGGCCAAAGAGATGGGGAACCAAAAAATGAATTTTATGTGTAAAATTGCAATTCTATACTACTTAAAAATGATTAAGATCTAAACAACATAACCTTGGTCTGGTCCCAACTTTAACCCAGGGACTTGGTCCCAATGTCACAAAAGAAAGCTGTAGAGATCCCCATCCCACTCAACCATACATATTATACTGGAAAAAAGAACATCAACTATATTCTGTATAGTTACTGTGTATACCTGAAAAAAGTACATCAGCTATTTCCCGAGGCGTACACTGGAGAGATAGTTTTGATTAGAAAATATTTGTAAACCATAAGCTGTATAGCTTCACTCCCAACTACTCTTTTGATGACAATGGAGCCAAATGCAAGTGTAGCTATAGGTGTATTAGGTCAGAAGGTGTGTTTTAGTTCCCAGACTAACACACAGGACTAAAACAGAGTCAGGCAAAAGTGGGGATATATTCGATTTAACCAGTTACTTTTATATAGAGGCCACTAATCTTGACTTGTCCTTGGGTACTTTTTTCCCCCAGAAATTTGTATTAGCTTGGGTAAATATGTCAAGAATCCTAGTCACATGTACATGTGTTTTCTCACAGCTGCCAAGGTGAAGATTTTGAAATTAAATTTATTTGTTTCAGAATTTGACGGAGATACCGTCTTGTGTAGGGTTTGTGGTGACAAAGCAAGTGGCTTCCATTATGGAGTGCATGCCTGTGAGGGCTGTAAGGTGAGTCAATGATTTTTCTATTTCTTTTCCACAGGGGCCTGTGCCTTGTAACTTTTGGAAAACGTTGCACACAAATAGCATGATTTTGTGAAATTGATTAATATTCAGGAGAAGTGACTTTATAACTGACTCAAATTATCTTTTAAAAACATCATCGTGAGCACACACCTACCATAGTTTCTTGCATATTGCCCGGGGACTCTACATTTTTAGCCCACTATCATCAGATGTGAGCTTTTCAAATCATCCTGCATCTGTAGTCCGTCATGTCTGTCCTTAAACAAATCTTGTTATCCCTGTTTCTCACAAAGAACTGGAGGGATCTTTCTCAAATTTGATATGAAGGTTCCCCTTGGTACCTAGTTGTGCATATTTACCTTTTAGACTGATCAGATAAACAAAATGGCTGACAGATGCTATATTGGATTTTGACAGTTAAGGATTATTATCGCTATTTCTCAAAAAGTACTGGAGGGATCTCTCTCAAATTTAATATGAAGGTTCCCCTTGTTCGGTAGTTTGACACTAATCTTTGATAGAACTTAATAATGAATAGTGCTGTCGGGGATAGAATCGATGATATTTTTGTACAGATCATAATTTTCTTGCTATTTCATGTACAAAGTTGCTAAAGGTAAGTATTTTGACAAGGTAAAGGTTTTGCTGCAAAAATAGGGTCTTATATGCACCTCATTTTACAGAGTTATAGCCTTTTGTTCATTTTCGTGTCACTTGGGAAGCTATGGCGACATACAGATCAATCTGACAGGGTTGATGTCGTTGTTCCTGTCAGTTGTTTGAACAGTTTCGGTGTATTAACTCTTGAAGGATCCTGGATCTAGAATTCAGTTAATCTGCCATTGGCCATCTTGGATTTCATATAGATATGGTTCCAGATGACGTCTTTTGGCAAAATTAAATGAAGGTGGACATTTTATTGACTATAGAAGTAGAGTGGAGTTGATTTGTAACAGTGTTACTGTACTATACATGTTTACCAACAGGACGGAGCTTATTGACCCAGTGCTGTGCTAATGATATTGATCCTAATGAACTGACCATTGTGTGACCCATGTATGACCTCGACATGACCTTGGCAGGCTGTAACAATGCCTGGATCCCAGGGGTATTTTGTTGTTATTGATCTGCCCCCACACTCACAGTGGCCCTTCATTCATCTATTGCTATCATGGAACATGCTGCTGAAATTATCTTTGGTCTTCCTAGTAAATATCCTGGGTCAAATAGAGATGGAAAGGTCAGCTTGAGGACACTGGTCAAGTGTTTAGTCACTAGGTCACCAGTGACATACATTGGAATGAGCAAGTCACTGATTGATAGGAGTAAATAAGGATATTTGGTCTGATTGGAAATCCTGGCTTGATCTATAACCAAGATGGAGTAGTAGGACTGCCACAGTATAGGTGTACCATCATATATTGTCATACACCAAAAACATATTGCAAAATATTCCTTTTGCCAATTCTTGTTGAAGAAACTTTGTAAATAATATAAGAAATCTTTGATTTCTAAGGTGCTCAACCTATTCTTAATACTCTGGGTAAAGCAAACGAACAAGTTAATTAACCCTTCCTGTAATAAAATTAGCTGCTTAAAGAGACTTCTTAATTGAGTTGTGAAGGAAAAAACACATCCTACCTGGTTTATTAGATTATTGGATTACCTGGCCATGAAGGGCCATGGGAGCTTATGCTGGCACCATGTCCATTGTTTGTTCTTCAACTTTTCATTTAAAACATTACTACTCTGGAATGGCTCAGTGGATTTTCACAAAATTTTGTCTTTAGCGCTGATTGGCCAAGGTGATTCATGATCAGTTATTTATTAACAAATGAACAAAGGATGTGGTCCCCTGCTATGTAATGATCCCTATCCAATAACCATATACATATATTAATGAACAAACAGTTGACCGGGAAATGAAGAGAAGAGTGTGGTCATGCTACCATAATTAAATTAGAATTAACATGTAACACTGGCATGATGTATGTGATCCTAAGATGTGGAAAAGGTGAGAGATGAACGATGCCGATGGCTTGATGACAAGGCGATGACCCTAATCAATGACTGGCTGGGGGTCAGGGATGCAAACATAGTGGTAGTGCTCAGTCATACGTGAGAATCAACATCTTCCTTCTATTGAATTCTTTAATCTAAAGGATGACTGCTACCTGCAACGTATACGTACAAACATAATATAATGATTATTTAATAATTGTCCTAGGGGTTATGACTGTCCCCACCTGTTGTACATACAATTTCTGGGTATGAAGAGACCAAAACACTTAAGCTACAATGATTGATCATGGGGTTCATCCTAGCCCCCGGGACTAAGTCCCTGGATCATAACATGGAATTAGTTGAGATCTGCAACCCATAACCATCTATACAATTGCTATGCATGAACAAATAAACACAGTCATGCTACCAGAATTAGACCAGAGGTATGGCCCAGCTAGTAAGGACTTTGTCCTAGAGCCATAATATGGAAATGGTTGAGATCCCCATCAACTGACATGTAGGGGGAGCATTAGGATCCATGAGTACCTTGTTAAGGTTTGAATAATACCAGTCTTGTCTTAAATCTATTTCCTGTTTTCTATCAGGTCATGTCTGAGCAATGATCAGGTGCATATTTGCAAGGTTAATTTATTTTGTAATGCTCTGATAATTTAATAAGTTTTTGACAAATCCCTCATTTTATGACCGTCTTTCCCCTTTCCCCACTCACAGACTAGGCTAACTGTATGTATCTGAGTATGAGTAACAGAGCAGGAACAGGTGTATTACGTTGTATAAACTGAGGAACTCTTGTTATCATACAATTGATTCTTGCAGTATAACAGTCACTGGGGATCAATGGCTTATTTCTTTGTTGTGGTAAACAAGAACTACCAAACTAGTGTGGTCAAAATCTAGGTCAGTCCATTACACAAGACCTGGGATCAGTAGTCCTGTGTTCATGATATGCAGCAGTGACTAACAGGTTCAGACAGAAAACCAACATACATGTAGTTTGATGTTTCTATATATGAGCTGTTGATTGTTAGTAATTGAGTATAAACCCCACATGTACACAAGTTGTATCCAGCACACAAACACATCATTGGTAAATGTACCAATGTTTGTCACCTGTAAACATACCAATGTTTGTCACCAGTAAACATACCAATGTTTGTCACCTGTAAATGTACCAATGTTTGTCACCAGTAAACATACTGATGTTTGTCACCATTAAACATACAAATGTTTGTCACCAGTAAACATACCAGTGTTTGTCACCTGTAAATGTACCAATGTGTGTCACCAGTAAACATAACAATGTTTGTGACCAGTAAACACACCAATGTTTGTCACCAGTAAATACACCAATGTTTGTCACCATTAAACATACCAATGTTTGTCACTAGTAAACATAACAATGTTTGTCACCAGTAAACATACCAATGTTTGTCACCAGTTAACATACCAATGTTTGTCACCTGTAAATGTACCAATGTTTATCACCAGTTAACATACCAATGTTTGTCACCAGTTAACATACCAATGTTTGTCACCTGTAAATGTACCAATCTTTGGCACCAGTAAACATACCAATGTTTGTCACCAGTAAATGTACCAATGTTTGTCACCAGTAAACATAACAATGTTTGTCACCAGTAAATGTACCAATGTTTGTCACTAGTAAACATAACAATGTTTGTGACCAGTAAACACACCAATGTTTGTCACCAGTAAACATACCAGTGTTTGTCACCTGTAAATGTACCAATGTTTGTCACCAGTAAACATAACAATGTTTGTCACCAGTAAACATAACAATGTTTGTCACCAGTAAACATACCAATGTTTGTCACCAGTAAACATACCAATGTTTGTCACCTGTAAATGTACCAATGTTTGTCACCAGTAAACATACCAATGTTTGTCACCAGTAAACACACCAATGTTTGTCACCATTAAACATACCAATGTTTGTCACCTGTAAATGTACCAATGTTTGTCACCAGTAAACATACCAATGTTTGCCACCTGTAAATGTACCAATGTTTGTCACCAGTAAACATACCAGTGTTTGTCACCTGTAAATGTACCAATGTTTGTCACCAGTAAACACACCAATGTTTGTCACCAGTAAACACACCAATGTTTGTCACAAGTAAACATACCAATGTTTGTCACCAGTAAACACACCAATGTTTGTCACCAGTAAACACACCAATGTTTGTCACAAGTAAACATACCAATGTTTGTCACCAGTAAACATACCAATGTTTGTCACGAGTAAATGTAACGATGTTTGTCACCAGTAAACATACTGATGTTTGTCACCATTAAACATACCAATGTTTGTCCCCTGTAAACATACCAATGTTTATCACCAGTTAACATACCAATGTTTGTCGCGAGTAAATGTAACGATGTTTGTAACCAGTAAATGTACCAATACCAATGTTTGTCACTAGTAAACATAACAATGTTTGTGACCAGTAAACACACCAATGTTTGTCACAAGTAAACATACCAATGTTTACAGGTGACAAACATTTGTATATTTACTGGTGACAAACATCGGTACATTTACTGGTGATAAACATACCAATGTTGGTCACCAGTAAATGTACCAATGTTTGTAAAAAGTAAAAATACCAATGTTTGTCACGAGTAAATGTAACGATGTTTGTTACCAGTAAACATACTGATGTTTGTCACCATTAAACATAACAATGTTTGTCACCAGTTAACATACCAATGTTTGTCACCTGTTAATGTACCAATGTTTATCACCAGTTAACATACCAATGTTTGTCACCAGTTAACATACCAATGTTTGTCACCCGTAAATGTACAATGTTTGTCCCCAGTAAACACACCCAATGTTTGTCACCAGTTAACATACCAATGTTTGTCGCCAGTAAAAATACCAATGTTTGCCACCTGTAAACATACCAATGTTTGTCACCTGTACATGTACCAAT